TTTATAGTGGAGAAGTGTGTCAGACACCACCTTAGTCTAGTAATCAAACAACACAATAATGGTACAAATCAAAATGCAGTGGGATACAATGAAAAGAACACAATATCACTTCTGTGATACTTCCCACCAAAGACACATAATTTGAATCTTATTGCTAGGAAACTTCAGATAAAACCAAATTGAAGGGAATTCTGCAAAATTACTTGCTTGTCATCTTCAAAGATGTCAAGTTTATGAAATTCTAGTAGAGATTGAGAAATTGTTCCAGATTGAAAGAGATTGAAGAAACATGACAACTAAATACAGTGTGTGATTCTGAATTGGATCATTTTGCTGTGGGAAATATTATTAGAATAATTGGTCTCATTTGAATGAGGCCTGCAAGAAGATGGTAGAATCAAATGCATGTATCAGGTTATGCTGGTGAAGGTCTTTATTTTAGGAATACTGTACACTAAAGTACTTTGGAGATGATGAGCATTCAATTAATAACTTACTCTCAAATGGCGCAGAGAAATGAAAAGCTGTATCATTGTTACATAACTTTTGTTTCTGCTTGAGGTTGTTTCAAAATAGAAATTTTAATAAATTGAACATATACACTGACCTTTTAATTTCTTAGGTCTTTTCACCTGCCCTGTCATGTCCTAGCCAAGGTGTTTGCCCTCTTGCTTACCTTCATTTTCTCTGCATAGCAAGAGTGTCCTACAGAACATACCTTCTTCTCCTGGGTTGAAATCTACCTGTGCATGATACATTTCCATTCATCCCACAGGCCAGGGCCATACCCTTCACACTCCTGTCCATATCCCTAGTATAGAGCATGGCTCCTGGCACTGAGCTTCAAAACAGTCATGGAAAAGGGAAGAGAGATAAGGGCATAGAAATACATTTGGGAATTCTGTATACAGCCAACAGAATCAAGTGGAAAAAGAGATACAGAAAATACCTGGCCTAAGTTTGAATTACAGTTGTGTGATCTTAGATAAGACTTGGATTCTCTGAGTTTAATTTTCTTCATATGTAAAATGGGTTATTATGGGCTGGGAGTATATATCAGTGGTGTAAGAGCCTGCCTGGCAAGCACAAGGTCCTGAGTTCAATTCCCAGGACCAAAAATAAAATAAAATAAAATGGGTTATTAGATAAAACAAACTGAACAATATTTGTAAAGCATCTGGTAGAGTCTGGCATCTAACAGGCACTCAGTAAATTTTAGTTTCCCTTTGCTCAGCAAATATTCAAAACCATCAAAGAAGACTAGAAGTTTAAAATTCCAATTTATATTCCTGACTTTCCCATAACCATGATATATGAATCTATCCAGGTTTAGAACCTGGATATCTTTTTATTTTTCTTTCTTTCTGTTTTTCAAGACTTCAGTTTTTCCTTCTTGTAAAATGAGAGGTAGTAAACCAAGAAAAAGAGGAGTGGGATTTATGAATGTCATGCTACCAAGTTCTAAAATTTAAAGTTTGTGGTTTTTTTCCTCTGAATGATAATGAATACAGAAGGTGAAGGATATGAACGAATTCACTGTATTTAAAGTATATCCCTCAGTGTCAGCAGTCAAGGCATGCAAAGCCTACCACCTACTGGTTTGTACCACTAGCTCATTTAGACCTGCTTACATTAGTGGGTAAATTGAGAGGTGGTGTATTTAGGCTACTGTTGAGCACATTAATAATTTATGACCCACCCAGGAATTAGCACACACTTTAAGGTCTCTCTGCATTTTTCTTTATTCATAATTCTTTACCTAATTGCTTTTTTCTTTGAGAATTAGGGAGCTGAGACCTTGGATTTTTGCCTAATGGATCCAACAGAGCAATGACCCCATCGCCAAGTCTTTTAGTCCTTTTATAGCGTGGGGACTTTTGCCACTGAAAGAAAACTGATGGGTTTGATTTTTCTAAGCGATATTTTGCACTGACCTCTGGCCCCATGAAATGCTTTGGCCCTCATCCATTCACTGTGAGGGGAGCAATAAATTTGTTTTAATTTAGGACTTTGTCAAGTAGGGAATACAGACAAAAATAAAATAACAGTTTGAAAAGAGATGGGATGAAGTCCTGAAATACATTGACGTTCACTGAAACATTAACAAATGCCAATTCCTAAGGGTGTGACTGGACCGTCATACTCTTGAAGTTTGGCCAAAGATGCTCTCCTCTTAGGAAAGGTGGTCTACATTGACATTGCAAAACACAGAAAAGCACTGATCCGGCATGATATATCTGTTTTAAATATGTTTATTTTTAGCTAAGTGCAAGAAAAATCATCTAGACCACTGTAATAAGCTTTTCAGTAGTAAGGCCTTTATTTTCATAGTGTAAACACTTTATTAGGTATTTCTGAGGGTTGAGTCTCCACCTTTTCTTAGATTGGAGTCAAAGAACTGAACTAGTTAGCTGTTATCTGTTGAGTTTATTTGTGATTGAAAGAAATGACTCCTACTTTGGTTATATGCCTCTTGAAGAAGCAGAAAACGGTGTGTATGCCATTCATCTCTGTGCTAATATTCTTTCATAGGTAACATCATTGTGACAGGTGGTAAAATAATCCAAAAACCACAAAACATATTTGCCAAGCTATGAGGTCTTGGATGGTGAAACCTTTCACTGAATCCAAATGGCCAAATCTTCCAGAATACAGATAGCCTGAGGGCCTTGTTAGCTGTATGAAAACTAATTGGACCAATTTGAATGGAACAAAATTTTGCCCGAAGGCTTTAATCGCACTAGTAACCTAATGTATTTTGCTGTTGTTGTTGTTGTTTAACATAGCGAAGGCTATATTTAGGAAGACAAATCCATGCATGCAGCTCAGAAAACCTTATATAAGGTCAGAGAGCCGAGAGAGTTCATAAATATCTCATTTTAAATGCTTAGTGTGTGTGTGTGTGTGTGTGTGTGTGTGTGTGTGTGTGTGTGTGTGTGTGTGTATCCTGTGTTTTAGGAATAATTGGATGGAAACAAGCAAGCCAATTGTTAAAAACAAAGTATACCTTCTAAAAGATCAAACAAAGCAAGGCATCAAAAGCATGATTCTAGTTTTGCTATGATGATAAGGGATGTTTCTCTATGAAAATTTAGTGCTCATCTTTATTTACAAGATCTAAAACTCTGTAACTAGTGACTAATTCTGTGAGTTCCCCAAATGATAACAGAACAATATTTTGACATGTTTTGGCATTAAGTATTGTATGTTTTCACAGACAGGAAGGGAGAGTATAGGTTGAAACTCTGAAGAACTGTTCAAGCTCTGCCTCTTGCTAACTCTGCGAGCTCACACAAGTCACTCACCCTTTGAGTTTGATTTCCCATCCCTACATAGTGGTAATGAAATTAATGCCTTTCCAGATGCCTCGTTAGGTTTTGTGAAAAATGTAATCAATAGAAAAAATTATGTGCAAGCTGTAAAGCCCTCTCTAAGTATATTATTACTGATGTTGTTGTATCATCATTATGGTAGAATTTAAATGTTCTACGTCTCTTTATTTTTCTCAGTTTTTCAATTTCATTCTTACTTTTGGTCCACGTAGAAAGTATACATCTACTATAAATCACCAAATCAAAGTTCCCAAATCTGCAAAATCCATACTCCAAAGAATGTGATTTAGGAAAAAAGTACTGTACAGTATTCTCTTCTGAAGCCCTCTGTGGAATGTGGTATAGTCAGGCTATGATGGCACCAGGAAATATTCTCAGAATTCATGTAATTCCACAGCCAAAACTGTGATTCATTGCTCCAATACCAAAAGCATTGGGCAGGATTTAGTTTGGAAACCAAAACACTGTCTGCTTTCAAGGTTCTAAATAGGGCCATTTGGATTCATTGTCACACTGGCTGGTCCCACTAGTCTGGAGTGATAGCTCCACAGTTCTCAGTGTACTCAGCATTTTCCTTATTTCTTCTTGCACCTTGCTTAACAATACACGTGTCTGGGTAAAGAGATATCATAGAGTTCATCTTAGGGAATTACCCCACTGCTCAAGCATTACAGCTTGAATAGTCTACACATTTATCTTATATAGAAACTTATTTCTATCAGCTCTGGATTTCCAAGTATGAGTCTTATAAAAGCTGTCACTCAAGTCTTTGATGACAGATTTCTCTGGGAGATCTTTTCCTACACTTTGCTTTGCTTCCTCTTTGACAGCAGTGTGGTTCTCTTTTTGAAATAAAGCACTAAAGGAGATGGTTCCTTCAGGCAAATAGCACAGTTCAGTTACTAGTTCAAATGAAATGTGTCTAGACAAAAAGCTACAAATACCACTCTTAGTTGTGGTGCTGATATGTAGCCAGGTGTGCTATGGGCAAGTGTGTGAAACTCCGGCATTTGGCCCCGGCCAAATGTCACACTTCGGATAAGGAAGATACAAATCTCCTGCCTAAGTGGGAGCCATGTAATTTCACCCAGCCTTTCCAACACATCAAATCAAAATCTCAAAGCCCGGATGGCTTGTGATTACTTTCTAAAGAACCACAGAAAGTGAGAAAAGAAGGACCTGGGATCACAAAATTTCTAGGTGGATGCTTCAGTTCCTCTCACTGTACTAGGGTCAAGCTCGATTTAAACATTTGGGAATAACTCAATCTGTTTTCAGGTAATTCTAACCTGATGAAAGGTAGTGTTTTGTTTTAATTCTTCCCGGTGTCTAAGACTCAACGTAGCCCACAGGGATTGTCACCTACATGGGTTGACATAGACCTCCAGTCTGTTCTGAAAGTTTAGAAAAAATTTCAGCACTAAAATAAGACATACACATACAATGTGGTCATATTCAAAAGCAACCCTAAAGACTATCTTACTCTCTTTTTATGGAGAAAATTGCATTCCATACTCACAAAATATATTCATGAAATTATGTCATTCTTATATCTGCATATCTATCACGTATATCATCCTGTTAACATAAAGGAGAATATCTAATTACCAGAAGTTGAAACACCATAAAACTGAGTGTTGTGCTTACCTGCCATTAGTTCACACTTACTTTCATTAAATTCATGGGGAAGCTGCATCCTCCAGGATGAGCCTTATTTTTGCTGTCCAAAACTTCAGCAAACAGAGGTCCTGGTGTATCTTACACTTTGTGTTTCTGCGGAATCCGTACAGAAGTCTGGGTGCACATAGGATGAAAACACCTATTTCTACTGATCAGGATCCAGTTTCTTATGCTTTGTTTGACCTGGGTGTGCCTAGCTTCCATCTGTTTGTCATACTAGACCAGATGTGTGGCATCTCTGGGACAGGAAGGCTGCATTTCCTGGAGTGAATTGCACTCAGCAGGTGAACACACAAGGCAATGTGGAGATAGGTTTTTATTCACAGGAAACCAGATAGCCATTTTGGTGATCAAATATTTATTCCCTATTATCTCCATGTTGCCAAGACTACCATGTAGAGCACATTTCTTAAAAGAAATTAGAGTGCTAACACTTTTACATATATTAGTAGGAGAAATTTCATTTTGAAAAAAGTATGTATTGAGTGACATTCTCTTGACCAGAAATGAATATAGTTTGCTATTTAATGCTGATTGAGATCATACTATGTTTTGCTTGAAGCTAGGCCTTTTTCCTCTTTGGAAACATTGCTTTCTTCTGTGAATTAGCATTCTTCTTTATACCTGAAGGCAATGAGGCCAAAGAGCCAGTCATTTTGAAGGCAACCAAGTGAATTAATCAGTGTGAACTGCTTTTTGCTTTCAGAAAAAAATCTGACTTTTCTAAATGAGCATTTTTGAATAATTTTGTTGAATTTAACACTTTTTATTGTAACTATTTGTGAGGTACTGACTAAGCCCTGTGATGGATCTGAAGTTAGGCAGCAAATCTGATCTAAGAGGCTATCTGTGTAATGGAACTCACTAGCACACAAATACAGATTATTCTAGGTTCTCCTCCAAGGTGGCCTGGGATTTACAGTATGATAGGATGAGTACAGAGTACTGGAGTGGGAACACATCAGTTCTGACTGGGGAGATTTTCAAGGGGGCTTCAGAGAAAATGCTGAATTTGAGTCAACCTTGAAAGATAATAAGCAAGTAACCTTTGTTAAGTGTTGGCTGAATGCCAGCTCTGTTCAAAGTGCCTTACACTTATTGACTCTTTTCATTCTTCTGATTAATCTTAAATCCATAAGTCCTGCTGCAATTGCTTGTTTAGAGATGCATAGCTGAGACTGGAACAGCTAATAGTTTGTCAAAGCCCAGGAAGTAGGCAACTAGCATGGCTTGAATAGCCAGAGAGACAGAGCAACAGAGAGAGAGAGAGAGAGAGAGAGAGAGAGAGAGAGAGAGAGAGAGAGAATGCAGAAGACAAGGTATTCATAGAACATAAACAGAGTAGATAGCAGAGCATTTGAAATGTTGACCTGAGGATTTTCAAGAGGAAGCCAGGAAGAGCTGTGGTAAGATTACTTTGCAGGAATAGCTTGTAGGCGGGAGGACTGAGTGATTGAGGGAGGGCATTGTTTAGGGATCTGTTAATTAATTAATTCCTTCAACACAGAGCACTGGGCTTCCCCTATGTACTAAAAACTGTTCTGCATATTAAGAATATAGCAAGGGACAAGAGAGACAAAATTGCACCTGACAAATTCACACACACTTTACTTTGCAGAAAGAATACAAATCAAGTGTAAATAAAGAAAAAATTAAGCAGGGCAACTTTATGTAATTTTGAAAGAAGAAGTAAAACAATGCAATGTGATACAGGGTGAACGTGGACATAGTGGCCACGTCAGGATGGCGGTCAGCCAAAACCTCTGTGAGAAAGTGACATCTGAACTGAGAGCTGAAGAATGACACAGGAGATACTGCTGTTTGTAAGGTCAAGGGTTCAGCAGAGCAAGTTTTGGGTTCCTTAAGAAGAATGTTCCAGGAAAAGTTGACAAATAAAAAGGCTCTGAGTTGGGAAAGAGTTTGGGGGAATCAAGGGACAGGGAGGGTGCCGGAAAAAAGTATTTCATGAAGTATCAGGAGAAGGGCATGAGTTGAAGTCAAACAGACAGAACCAGGGTTCCACAGTGAGGGCATTGCATTTTACACCGAAAGACCTCAGCATGGATTGGAGAGCTTCAAGTAGGTAAATGACTTATCCCACTTGATAGTTTGAAAGGATTACTCTTAATAATATATGGAGAATGGGTTACATAAGGAAATGAATGACAGCGGGGAGCTGAATTAGGAGACAAATGGCAGACAAGGAAGAGATTATATGGCTTAGATCTTGAAGGAGAAGCTTGCCAGAGGGAAGAGGATTATATTTTGGAGGCAGAGCTAAAAGAAGTGAATGAGTGAGATGAGAGAAATGAAGGTGCCAAGGACGAGCTCATTAACTTTTGCTGAAGTGATTACGTGGTGTGGTGCCAGTAGCTGAAATCAGGAGAACTGGCTTTGAGTGTGGAGCTTTTAAGAGTTCTGCTGTGGACATGGGAAGGGCATTTCTGGGGATAACTAAGGCAGCTACTTTGAGGATAACAAAAGATGAAGGGGTACACGAGAAACTATATACACATTGCATTAACTCCTCTCAAAATACTCCCTCTCTGTTTAAACACGTTTCTCATCAGTCTTGTTGCTTTTTGAAGCAGTTCTGGAAGTCCTCTTTCGTGAGTGTCTTTATGAGGTATGACCAAAAATAAGGTACATATTTCTGCCAACAGAAAAGCTGGCAGGTGAAGGTGTTATGTGTGTCCTCATCCACCTTATTGGCCAGGTTTGGCGCTATACAACTTCTGGCTCTTCCCCAAAGTCAAAATTACCACAAAAGGTAAGTAGTTTGAATCTGTTCAGGGCAGTTACAATAGCACAACTAAAGTCACTCAAGAAAAAGAATTTTCAGAAGTTTCGAAAAGTGGCGAGAAAGGTAAGTGTTTTCAAAGTGAGAGAGTATTTTGAGATAGATTAATGGCAATGCATCTTTTTCTGTAGTCACTTTTTAATTTAAATATTCACCCATTTTTTATCCCAACTCATACAATTAACTGACAGACGTGATTAGATTTTGAGGAAAGCGTTTGAAAACTTTGGGTTTTGAGTCTGATAACCTATAAAGGGAAGAACTGCATGGACTACATTAGTAAAGGAGTAGGCAGAGCTGAAAAAAGAGCAGGATGAATAAAGATCAGGGGAAAAATATACACTTGAGGAGGGAACAAGTGCATACAATTTAGAGTCAAAAAGTCTTGGGTTTGAATCTCAGACAAAGCATGTACCAAATTTCTATAACAAGTTATTTCTTTGAGTCATCTGTAAAAATGAGGGAAAATGATATCCAGTGATAAGGATTAACTGAGATGATTATGTGTAAATGCTATACACAAAAGAACCATGTAGTAATTATCATCTATATCTTATAATTTTCATTATAGTAACAGCGATATAATAATGGTACTATCGCATGAGATGTGTTACATTTCTAATGATTATTGGTGAAGTGATAATATTCTTGTTCTTAGTTTAAGTATGGAGAGGAGCAAAAAAAGGGAGAGGAGGAGATAAAAGCAGAATTAAAATATATTATGTACCTGTACCTACTTCACACAATGAATGCAATCATGATGTACTGCAAATATGTTCTAATAAAAAATAAAAATAATGGACTGCAAGCCTATTAACAGTTTTAGATTCAATGTTATTTGCTACTAATATAAAATCATTACAAAAACATAAAAATTATTTCTCGTTTTCCCATTATGCAGGTAAACTGGAGCTCAGCCAGGCTGACGTGCCCACGGTTCTGCTGCTGGAAATTGTAACCTCTGTAGAAAGGACAGAACTCACACCTGGGTCTCACTCTGTCCAAATAAGCTAGACTTTTTCCCCAACTACACACTTGTAAGATAAAAGCACCTTTGCTTCATTTTGGCATTCCTATGGTGTTTTGGGCTGTGTGAATAAATTCTGTTTTTACAGCTGTTATGTTAGCAAGTCACCACTGTGTGACACTGTGTTTAATTCAGCACTGGACCATGTTCCCCTCCGGGGCTGTCTTTGGAGGAGATGCAATGGAGTCTCCACTATACTACCACTGACAAATACGCTGAGTAGACTGAGTGTAGATTTTCTAAGGAAACCACCCCTAAAAGGAGGTGATAACAAGGGACAAAACACTGCATTTTGCAATATCTAGAAATAAAGGATGCCTCAAAATATAAAAATTCTAACTCTGGTCTTTTGAGTCTTTTGGAACTACAGTTACCTTTAATCCTAGTAAAGTATGTGTAAGTGTGCACGAGTGTGTGTCTCTACTCCTGAGATGTACCACTCTCTCCATGTAAATACTCTTGGGGCTCTTGTGCCATTTCAGACACTTTGTCATCGTGTTAGTGAGCCCCCAGCCTCTTAGTCTCACATCATGGGAGTGTAGGGAGGGAAAGAAAAAACAGGGATGAGTTTCCACGATTGTATTTTGTGCTTGGGGAGATCTTACCCTTTAGTCAAACACCCAAGTGTGAAATGCAAATCCACCCCTCTCCCAAACCACTGGAGAGGAGGCAAAGAAGGGGCTGGTGGGATCCATTTCACACAGGACAGCTTCAGAATAAATTACCACAGCGCTCTGAAATAATTAATGAAGTTCTGTGTGAGCCCTTGGAAGTTGGGGGATGGACAATCACCTTTACCAGCAGCTGCTGCCCTGGTATCCTCTTTCCAAGCTTTAAGCCTAGGAGGCTCTAAATTTAATTGGAAGTTTTGGACAATGGGCCCATTTATTTCTGGTGACTTCCTCTCACTGTATGCAGGACTGAAAAGATATCTGTCAGCTAAGGAGATCAGATTTATTACAAGAGCTGGGTTTGAGGAAGAATAAATGGGATAATGTGTGCCTGGTCCTCTGATGTATACCCCAGAGACACAGGCCTTGGGATCCTCATCACTGCACACTATATGCAGGCTATCGTTACCTAAGCAGCTAGAAAGCTTTAAAGAAGCAAAGCGGCAAGGGGGTTGGAATAGATGCAAACTACTTGGGTCATTAAAGACAAGAAATCTACACTACTCATTCTGCATACATTTCGAGAATGCAGTGCAGGACTTTTTATCAGCAAGTTTACAACATAATTGGCCAGTCCAGGAACAGATCCTCTGGAAGGGAAAATGTGTACCAAGTTTCATAGCATCACATTTTGAATAGATATCCTACCATTTTCTCCAAACTTCATAGATGTGACTGCACAACCACAAAATACCAGGCACTGTTTGAAATAGGTGTTTGGATCAGAAGTCTCTCTTTCATGGTGGAGTTTCAAAATGTGGCATCTCCTTAACTTAGAGGTCTGTTCTTAAAGATAATACTCTCACAGTCCTCCAAGATGGAGAAGGCAAATGCAATTTAATAATAGAAATGTGAGCTTTCCTGTACATATCTGGACCAGGGGTAGGAGAAAACATTAGGGTACATGTTTGTATACAGTGAGAGTCCTTATAGACAAGGCAGGTGTATTCAATATCTCCCACTAGGAATATCATAGAAGAAAAAACTCTTTAATTGCCCTCTCTTTTCTTTTCATAAGCCAAGTGCAATTTAACGGAATCTTTATAGAACATTTTTTAACTCCAAAGGGCAGAGATAGGAATGAAGATAATATTAAATACATAGCTGTTTTCTCTCTACTTGAAAACTTTTCCCCTAAAATAACAAGACATGTAGATAGAATTCAGTCTTCTGCGGTCTAGTTGAGCCCCTCCTGAGCCACACGGCTACCCAAATCCAACCAATGCTCCTTCATTCTCTGGCAATAACAGCATCAATAATAAATGCCAAGCTCAATTCCCTGCTGATTCTGTTATCCATCCCTGAAGGAGAGCTGACCCACACTGGCGGGACGCATGTTTACAATCAGATTTCCACTAGAGTCCCATGGAGCAAGAAGTACTGGAGCATCACAAGCCAGTGAAATTGTATGTGGTACATTAGAAGGTTGATTATAGTAATAAAAAGATTACCCGCTTATTAAAGCATCAATCTATGCCTGGAATTAAATCACATTTTCAGGCTGGACAAAAGAAATATTTTTGCTCTAGGATGAAGAGTATTAGTTGGCCCAGAATTAAGATTCAGTGATGTATACCAGCTTTTCCTGACCTCATTGCCCTCCCCCTGACCCTCTGCACCACCGTCCTCTTACCTGATCACAGGACATGAACGAGGGAGACCAGCAACAGGAGGATCCACAGCAGCAGCATTTCCTCAGTGGGGAGTTTATACTTCATCTAAGAGATTTTGACAAAGGCTGTTCTTATGAAAACAAATATGCCCACCCAGCTGCCTACAGCTGGAAGGCTTAATGAGCATGGAGGTGGCTGGGTTGGTCCTGACACTTTAGCTATAGAAGGGGAGCAAAAGCAGCAATAGCTGTTGACAACTGTGCCCCCTTTCACGGAAGCAATGGATGGATTCTTCCTTTCAAAGCAGAAAGGTAACTTCTCCCTCTGCACACACCCGTGTGCTCTCCTGCACAGTGGCCTGATGCATTCTCTGGACCTAGCCATGGCTATTGCTTCCCAGGGCATCTAATGCCACTACTACTTCGACCTTTGCATATTAATACATCCTTAAAACTTGAGGTACCGAGGAGAAAAAAAAAAGAAAAAAAATCAGGAGGCATCCTGATACAGAGAAAGCCTCTTTCTTTTTCTCCAACGTGTTAGCCATGTTGTTTGATACACACTGGTGCCAGGCTACTAATTATCTTATGTCCACTACCAGTCTTAGGAATAAGCACTACTATTTCTCTCACTCACAGAGGAAGACACTGTGGCTTAGAGAGATAAGATGACAAGTCACAGAGCCAGCAAGCAGTGGAGCAGGCATACTTGACAGGAAGGACTGTGCTCTGTGGCTATCCTGATACACCACCTTCCTGAACTGTCCCTTCTTTTGCTTTGTGCTGTTAGTCATTGGACCCAAGGCCTTTGTGTTGCGCTATATCCTCAAACCTTTTACATATGTTTTTCTTTATTTGGAAGTAAGGTCTCACTAAGTCCCTGAGTTGCCCAGCTTGCTATTGTTAAGGCTCAGACTTTTTGTGGTCCTGCCTCAGCCACACAGAGTGCTGGAATTCAAGCCCTGTGCCACCACCTCTGGCTCTAAACTGTTTCCTCCTTGCTCCACCCACAGCACACTGCCCTGTCAGTGCAGCTCCAAACCCAACATCTGTCACTTATGTCATGTGGTGTCACCTCTCTTTTCCTTTTAAATTTTTGTTTTGATTTACAGCTGCTCCCAGAGTCCACACTCTGTATGCAGGATCTGGGGGAGCTGCCTGGCAGCTGTATATTGCCCTGGGTCAGGTTGGACAGGGAAAACAGGCAGCCAACCTGTGTGGCAGATAAGAAAGAGCTCAACTTTGCTTCTGATGCTGGCTACGTGTCTGATCCCCTGAGCCCCATGCATTTTCCTTCTTGCTGGGATAGTGGCAGCTTCGAGGACAGCAGCTGACAGCATTTGGCATATACCTAAGGACAGTTTTCCCCAAAACTGACAGCAATGATTCCAACCATGGCAGGCTTGCTTCCAATTATAATATTTTACCTGCAAAGGTCTCCTTAAATTGCCTTGTTTTTACTGGTCTGACTTAATTTCCTACTACAAGTTGGGCTTTGGGTTTGTGGCTACAGGATGAAATCCAAAAGAACCAAGATAGAATATATGTGTATAAAATTGTTTTTATTTCTATGCATGAAAAACAAATGTACCTTATTGCTTGGGGATGGGACCTAAGTCTATGGTGGGCACTTAAGGATTATTGTGTTTCCTAATCTGAAGACTTGTGTCTGAGAACCATTGGTTTGATTTCTTAGAATACTGCTCACTTTCTTAACTCAGTATGTTACTTCAGATGTCCAGTTCTGTGATTAAAGTTTCTTTGGTTGCATAGAAAATTGATTCAGAAGTATATTTTATTCCAGCAAACCTCCACTGAGTATACCTCCCTTCAGATCTATTGGTAAAGAGTAATGACCTTTATATCAAGAAGCTTGCAAAAATATAGTACGCAATTATTCAGCTTCCTTTCCATGTCACTCCAAGAGCTCTGTGCTCTACTTAGGCAGCTTGTTGCTGCCTAGCATGGCATAAATGCTGCTGGGTCATTTCTGCCCCCACGAATGCCAAGTGAGCACTTATATCAGTGTCTGGCTCAGACCTAGGGTGTTTTCTGCTTTCAAGAAATGAGAAACCTGCCCTCTGTATTGGTTCTAGCAAGACACACACAAAGAATTCCACCAGATGAACTAGTTTAGCTATTGGCAGGCAGATTGAAAAAAAAACTTGACATAAAACCATGAGAACTGAGTGGTAATGACTGCATTTGATGTCAGAAAGAGAAATAAAATGAAGACATGAGATTCACGATTCCCTACATCATGGTTTCTCAATGTTGGCACTGCAAACATTTTAAACAGGATAATTCTTTGTTGTTGGGGTCTGACCTGTAATGCAGAATATTTACCAGTTTCCTGGTCTTTATTCCCCAGGGGTAACAACAACCCCTGTGATACTTAATGTAATCTGTCAACATGACTGGATCACAGGATGCTCAGACCTCTGGTTAAACGTTATTTCTGGTGTGTCTATCAAAGTGTTTCCGGAAAAGAACAGCATTGGACCAACATGGTCTGACTTCCTCCAACCCATGGAGGACCTGCCTCAAATAAAAAGATCTACCAGGGATTCCCTTACTCTGCCTGCCTGCTTGAGCTGGAATATCAATCCCTCCTACCCTTGGCAGTGCTGCTTCTCAAGCTTTTACACTCAAACTGGAACCTGCACCATAGTCTTTCCTGGTCTCAGGTCTTCGAACTGCACTACCAACTCTTTTTGGAGCCCATCTTGCAGTCAGTGGATAATGGTATAGGACACACATACATAAATATAAATATGCATATACATGTACACATATAGTAATGTAATAT